AATTAAGCTTCTAAACTAAAATACTGCTCATAAAATATGAAAGTTTAACAGTTTTGAGGTGCCTATAGAGCAAGCAGATAGCAAGGGACGACCCAAGATGGCCAACCAATCATCAAAAGCGACTCCATATGACCGCTCTGTATTATTAAGCCACTGTATTGTAGTCGTTAAAGTACAATCCTAGCGGCGTTCGTTGTAACTACTTGAATGGATGTATAAACTACCTGGATACAGAAATGCAACCGATGAATCTATAATATTTACTAGTAGGACGTCTAAAGTCTTGTTTGCTTGGATGATATAAAGTTGAGATGAGGCCTTGTCAAGTCCTCGCAGTCTTCTGTGACATTACTTCCCCCAGTTCTACCACGACTTCTCTCGCTGTCATATGAAGACTACATTGCACTTCATATTCAATAAATCCCTTCACGTTTCATTTTTTTCTTGGTTTCAAGAAGTTCTGAGAGCTAGTACTTCAGTTTGTATTGACTAGTTATGGTGACTGCACCCGTCACTTGTATTTTCCTTTTTCTCGTAAACCTCTGTTGACGGATCTCCAAAACCAAGCTAATGGAAAGGAAGATTTTAGGATTCTATAATGGGTAGGATTCGTTTAAGAAGGCTCTTTTCAAAATTTTTGAGTGGATTGAAATTAATTAATGAGGTATTGTCTTGGATTCGTTTGCACAGGCTCCGGACACGCTGAGAATGACTAGGTATAGTACAAAAGTCAAGTCGACATTTTGTGACTTATTTGAAGAAAACTTTTAATCACATACCGATATAATTGTTAGCGTCGAACGAGATACATGAAGTAACCCAATGATCTGTTTATTATCCGTATTATGGATGAATGAGAAATGCTTTATTGAATACACATAAATTATAAATTTCACAAAGTATACAGAACATTTATACGACATGATTATTCGTCTGTCGGAAATTTTATATGATTTACAGGTACAGTACAAATAAATACTTTATAATAATTACATATACATGAATAACTGATAAATACTAAAACAACAAACACAAATATAAAATAGTAAATATTTTTAATAATTTATATCTAAGAAATAATAATAAGGGAAAATCATAAACAATAACATGAATAAAACTGACCACAAATAAATTAGACGGATCATTGTCTTTGCTGGATGTAGCAAATTAAAACGGTGGATCCACACATATCGAGCAAAAGTGACATTTTCACGACATTCGTTCACAAAGGGGGCATTTAGAAGAGAAATTAAGATATCATTTCGAAACCGGACTAGTTCCAAGAAATTCGATACGAATTTGACTAAACATTGAACTTTCAGCCAAAAAATGGAACAGGCCCTCCTTTACTGGTAGGTTACAGAGTGGACAATCCGTATATTGCCTGTCAAGCCATGGGATGTAATTCAAATAAACGAGTTCACACCTGAGCTTAAACAACCAATTCATCTAGTGCCCAGTTAAATCCCAATAGCAGCCATCCACGAATTTCAAAGTTTTAAGATCATGACTCAATTCCCTATACAATAGAAATCGATCATAATTCAATGGCGCTAATTTACATTGCTCCCAATATTGCTGGGTGATTGCAGACCCTATTTTTGCCAACTGTTCTTTCCATAACGAAAAGCATTTCAAAGACCTGTCGAACCTGCAAGAGTATCTTTTTGTCAAATCGCAACAATTTTTAAACCATAAAGTATTACGTTTAATCACTTTAATGGTGACTCTGGAGAGACGATATTCAGGTAGGCACAGTAACTTAAGACAATACTTGAAATGCAATTGCATAGTGAATACTTCAAGTGGATTTGTGGCTGTTTCTAAATAAATTATATTATTTGGTGTCGTTGGAGGCAACGAAAACAATTTCTTAATGAAAAATCTCTGAAAGTTTTCCAGTATGTCATGTCCCTGAAAACCCCAGACTTGAGTCGCATAGCATACTATGGAGCGCAATATCGCATCAAAAAACATATATTTGTTTTTTGGCGAATAGAGGTTCAGATCTTGAGCAATGCAATGACACTTGACCAATTCATATTAAGGCCCATTTTAGCAGCCGATATACGATCTCTCAAATGGTAAGTAAATGAAAGACTGGGGCTTATCGTAACACCCAAATATTTATAAGTATTTACTACTTTTATTGGTAAGCCCTTAAATTTCCATTTGTCTGCAGCAGCCAGTCTTCACCTTTACTAAAAACCATAATTTTTGACTTAGAAAGATTTACTGTCAAATTCAAATCATCACAATATGCTGCTAGAAGGTGTTTATTTCTTTGCAGTATAAACCTATCTTCAGCTAGCAGCACAATGTCATCAGCATATATTAAAACGCTGATACGGGTACTGCCTATACGAACTCCTTCAAGCGTAAGGGGAAGATAATATAAATACTAAGATATAAATATATAAATAATATAAATATTATTCACAGGAAAAACTTGGAAATTCCTTCTGCACCACGAACCGCCGATTTTGATTGTGAATAAATAGTTTTAGAACATTAATCAATTTAGTTGAGACGCCTAAATTGTAAAATTTCAAAATTAAAGTGTTTCAAACGCTGCTTTGAAATCTACAAAAAATACAAAGATTTTTATCCTTTTTTAAGGATTTTAATTTTTATAATATTTACCAACATAAATAAATTGTCGGTTGTTGAGTACCCGCGTATAAAACCTGTTTGGTATTGACTGAGAGGTTCATTCTCCGTGACAAAAGTTTCCAAACGTTGCAAAAGACCAGTAAACATTTTCGCAGATGCATTAAAACATGATACTCGTACACTTCTATAATTAGGAACATTATCGATGTCACCACGTTTAAAAAGAGGAAATAATACAGATTTTCCAAAGGAAAACAGAGCTTCGCTAGTCTCATAAATTCTATTGTAAAGAGAAAGAAGTTTGTTACGGTCTTTAATTTGGAAAAATTGTTTCCGCAACAAACTTGCCGGATGCTCAGTGGAGACGGTAGGGTTCGCAGGAAAAAAAAGAAAGAAAATTAATGAAGAGTCCATTAAATGTTACTAACTATCTAACAGGCGCCACGATATTTAATTTGTTGAATTTGGAAAATAGCGAAAACCATAAAAATAAAAAAATTAATAAATTTAATTAAAAAAAAAAGAATTGGACGTGGAGTGAGCTATAAACTCGGAACCTATGGATTTAAAAACATGTTAATTAACCTAAAAATCCTATCGAACCTTCTTACTTGGTTAATAATGACTTTCCCTAACCCCTCGAATAGGGTTTTACAATTCCTTATTAAACTTTAAAAAAAAGGATATAGTATACATAAAACGTGAAAACAAACAGAAGAAAATAAAACTGGCTATTATTAATACTAATGATGAATTTACTTATTTCTATTGATTTAAATAACTGTTAGAGGAAATGAAAATTATGAACAAGAAATTAGATTTATAAGAAAACAAAGAAAATACAATTAACTTTAATTATAAAAAAAATATATAAAATTATTATAAAACTAAACATTCACTTAGACTATACGGTAAACCAATTACAAATATTTTAAAAAAAATAGATAGGATATAAAAACTTATCTATACATATTTTCAAAATCTCAATGTCGAAATTTGTCCAATTGGCACATTGAGTTGTCTGAGGAAGCGGGAATTTATTCGAGCTAGCGTCGTCAGGGTCTCCCCAGTCCACCTCCTCAAGCTGTGAAAATGTTCATTCCCCAACTTGTAAAATCAAGCGGCACTCGTCGCTGATAATCACAGCTTCTTGGAGAGGAAAAGAAAAATCTGGTGCACACCATAAAACTAAATTATTTCACAAACAACAATCCTTAGTGTGCATCTACACTCGCGAGGTTCCGCCATCTCTCTCTAAACTGTCTTTTGTTTTTCCTCCAATCATTTGTTGGTTATTCCAATGCGAAATAAAATGAATACTTGAAACTAAGACTTATTATAAACTAATACTTATTATTAAAAGTAATACTAGATACTTAATTTTATATTTAACCCTCTTAGAGTTAATAAAAACCATAACTTTACGAACTCATTTTTTTTAACGAACTAATATGCACCCCTTACAAAAATCTATAACCCAGTAAAAATGTATTCCCTAAAAAAAATGTATGTCGTAACTTGTGCAATATAGTCCCCTTCTGGGCACTCCTACTACATCATATCCTGTACTTTCTGATCATTTGTTTTTCAAATCATGCATTAAACATTATTCGGCCTCCGCTTCCTCTCGAAACCTAGAAAGCAATTTTTTAAAAACAGTACTTAGTCATAGTGCTGCACAAAAATTTAGGATTATTTCTCGAAAAAATATTAAAATGCTTCATAATTTAAAAAAAAATGTAGCGGCAGGATCCCGGGAAGGGTATTTTATAGTTTATAGATTGTATAAGTGTTATTTAGGCATTTCAAAGGTTTGATGTTAGCCATTTTTCAAATGCAATTGTAACCGACATTGAACTGATTGAACCTAAATTAATCCAGTGAAAAAGAAAGAAGAATGGTTAATTGAACTATCAAAACAGTCTTAAGCAATACCATACACAGACACTGATTTGACCTATAAATAAAGTAATGCTTGAATGAAAGTTTGTTCACCCAAATCTCAGTGCGCATTGTTTAGGTCACCAACTATTTATAGAAAGGATGATATAATATATTTTTCATATTCAGAAAATTGTTTTAGTCCTTCTAGATCGGCCATCGGCCATCTCCACTGAATTTTCAAGAGTGTTCTATTGGGTATAAACAAACTTGAATTATGTCAGCTGTCTCACCAGCAGCAATTTTCCCGCAGCGGCATCAGAGCGCACGCCTCCTCTCAACTTCGGCTGACAATCTGTATTAGCTTCTAGAGAGTATGAAGTTTGATATTGACAAAAAAAAAAATCATGTTCAAATAATGCAATTTTATTAATTTGGTTCTTCCAACTTTTAACGTGCCATTTTCAAACGCCCCCGCTTTGAGTTGGCAGATTAATGCATATTAAATCCTAAAGACAGACATTGTAATGGTGAATAACTAAAATTTGTCTTCAAATTCTCAAATAAATGTGATGAGGTTCACCTCAATCACTTAAGAAAACCACCCAAAGAGATGGGACACTTACTTTACTTACTTTTTAAGGTTTAAATCAGGTAGGAGTTATTTGGTTTAAACCTTTTAGACATTGATAATTCAAAATATTTTTAAAAGTATTGGAAATTGTATGAGTTAGTACACAACCTCCAATCTTCCACCTTCAACAATCAATCTGGTCATATACCTCATTGGTTAACACAGTTACTACAAAAAATGTGGATTGCCACAGATACTTGTAGCTAGAGGGATATTTTTTAATCCTACAAGTTCTTTGTTACCTCATTGCATTTAACTGATTATATAAGTTTCATCATAATTTCTTTCTTCTTTCTGCTACAATTAAGTCCATATTTAGTTAATTTATGTTCTGAAAATGTCAAAATCTAAAAAGAATATTGTCTGGATAGACATGGAAGTAATATGTTTATATTTTAGATTACATACACAATTTATATGTTACATTATGTTTAATATATTTTTGTAATGATTACAGATGACAGGGCTGAATCCTGATGAAGACAGAATATTAGAAGTGGCTTGTGTAGTTACTGATCAGAATCTAGAAATAATTAGTGATGAGTTTAATGTTGTTATTAATCAACCAAAAGCAATTTTAGATAATATGAATCCTTGGTGTATTGAACAGCATTCCAAGGTAATTACACAGAATCTTTGTTTTGTCTTCACAAAATACATTTATTATATATTTTTTAAATTTAGTTTGGGTATAACATATTTAAGATATTTTCTTAGGATCTTAACTCTAATGTTCATTCATGCACTTTTTAATTGATATATTTGTTAAACACAGATACTTTTATGTTTAGCTTTTCATTTCTTAGGTGCTTGTAATAGTTTTGTCTGCCTTTTATTATAATGTTTTGTGTGCTTGGCATATATGCCTTTAAAAGAATCAAAGTATAAAATTCCTGGTTTGAGGTTTTAAGCGCTGTTACATGATTATACATTTATTGGTAAGTGAAAGTAAAAAAATTGTAATAGTTCGAACATCTGGTTTATAAGTGAATCAAGAATACATCTACACTGTACATCTTTCATACATAAATGAGAGCATGGCTTTTTAGAACAGAGTTTGTTTTAACACTTTTTCTATATTCAACGCAACTGCATATTTATTAGTACTTTTTATAAAATGGCAAGTTTCCAAACAAGCATATTCAAGCTCTGTATTCTTTCAAATTTATTTTTCAAACTCCTTCGCTTATTACATTTTAAAAAAAGTCATTTGTCCGAATCTATCCCACTCCAGACATCAGCAGTGGTATGTTTGGACACAGAGAGGTTCTTTTGGACAATATAAAGTTTACAAGTTTTAGTTCTCAAAGATTTTTATTAAAATTACACATTATAATTTATCACATTTAAATCAGAAATCACCGATGGCTATAATTATAAAAAAATGTGATAAGAAAATTTAACAACTAAAGGAAAATAGTTTCCTATCTAATATTATCTCAAAATATAAAAAATTGAAACAAAATAATAAAAAGAGAAAAAATAATTTTTAAAACTTCTGTAGGTATGAGTTAAAGTTAGGCAAAGACTATCTTACCTCAAATCTTACTGTAAATATTTGAAAACTCTGAAGTCATTCTGTACAGCCCAATGGGCCCAGAGGTGGTAAAATTCTATTAATTTGGTACATAATCAGTAGCATGAATATCGTAAATATCTCGGTGATTAAAAAAAGTTTCCTTCCTTAATTTTGTCTCACAAACTGAACTTCAGCATTATTTCTATTTTTGTTTTTTTGCAATGCAAAAGGTTAAGAAAATTGTTGATGAAAAATGGTCTTACTTTTTTTTTTTTTTAATTCGATAAGAATATAATCTTCCATCCTTGTTTTTTTCTTTTATATTAGTTTCAAATTTTCTCTCTCTGCCCCTCCAACCTTGATGATAAGGTCCAGAGATATTACTCCGGCCAGCACCTGGGCTCCCGCATGTGATACCATCCTGTAGGTCTTCATGTCTCTCAGTAGAGCCATCCTGTTTATAGTTGCAAGCTTTGTCTTCTGTAGTTTTAGGAATATTGTCTTTGGAAAAAGAATATATTGTGAGATAATCCTAAATTTGTTGATCCCTTTACCTGCAAAACCTCCGTTTTGAATTTGTCCTACAACCTCTGTCTATGACCTTGTATGAGAGTAACTCAGCCTTAGTTTTGTTTTTCAGAGCATATGAGTGTGATATGTCCTAAAGAAGAATATACTAAGCCTTATTTCATCTTCCAAAAGCACACAAAAGAAGATTCAATAAGAACTCCATAATCATTAAATTTCTCAAGTTTTCATCAGTAGAGTTCAAAGTTATGATCACCTTCTTATTTCATTCTTTAAAAAAACTATTGATTCTACAATTGTTGCAAACCAAATTGGCAATAAAATAAACCACTGTTTACCTATGGACGCTTAACTTTTACAGAAAATTGTAAGGAGGGCTGCTATTGGAAGACCCAGACTTACACACTTTTCACTAGACAGATACCCAAAAATCTACATTATGTGACATAAACTGTAACAACCAGAATTTTTTTTTTCCATGACATCAGTAAAGAAACATTCCAGGAATAAATATGAAATTTTGGTTTCACGCATATAAGTTATTCCACTATTTATGAGGAGTTAGCTAAAAAGGTACACTAAAACATGTTATAACAACTAACCAAGGTGTATACAACATGCTGAATTTCACTAAGTTCTTCCTTTACAAAAACAGAATAATGTTCATGAGATGGTCATATCACTATTTAAGAATTCACAAAGGGTGCCTAGCACCGAGAAATCTTAGGGATTAACATAGTTTAAGGAAATATGATAATTAGTACCCTACAATAGCCAAGTCATTGTCGGGACCTCAAGAAATGCATTAATTGCTGCTGTTCAGGCAATGCCTTAATGTAACAAAATCAGAGACCATCGGCATATCCCAGCCAACAGTAGATGCAGCTAAGTCTCAAATATCTAGTGCACCTCCCTAGGATCAGCAAACATGTATAGATTTATGAATAATTATTGGCCTAGTTGTTCCTCTATTTTATAATGGCTCAACCCAGTCATTTCATGTAATTAAAGAGTTACATAAACTTATACAGATCTTTTTCAGTTACTATCTCAGTTTATAACCAGGGAAGGGTTCAGCCTCTCCTTATACCCAACATGCTATTAATTACTAAAGCCCATCTGGTGATTGTTAGTAAATTGTTGATAAATATATTTATGTTAAATGTCTACTTATTATTCACACATTAACATGCTTTGGTAACCTTGTATATATGATAGCTATAGAAGCTAGAATAAGGAAACAGTATTACTTTAACAATTTGCATAATTAAGATAAATGTATAACTTCCATCTTATCGTTCTCAGTATTTCTATGTTCATCCTTTTTTATCAGTTGCTGTGATTATGGTGCTTGTATATTGTCTTCTTTATGGGGAATCATTAAGTGCAGCATGAACTGATCACTTCAGAATATGGTGAGTTCTTAACTACATTGGCTTAAAATTAAAAACCAGACCATATTGTGATTATACCTAATGCTTAAATCCTCTGTTAGTATCTTGATGTTTTTTTTTTTTTTTTTTATATTAGTGCTTATATATTTACATTACTCATCTATTATACTTTATTTAAATGTTTACTATATTCATTTCTAAAAATTTTTGTAATGAATTATTGAACAGATTGCATTTATATTAGGCTTGCCTTTTATTTCCTCATTCATTTAATCTTACTTTGTTCTGTGAAACATATAAATTCTTTTTAAAGAAAAAGCTTATTTACTTTTAATTTAAAACAGGATAAAAGTTAATATATATATATATATATATATATACGTCACTTGAAATTGTACAATAAATATGAAATGTTACAAAATTTATCAATAGTTCAAAGTTTTGGAAACTTATTGCTAAACCCAATCATCAATCATCAATGATACTAAGCTTTTTTTTACATCTTTCTTTCTTTTTTTTAAATTAAATTGTAAACTGTTGAATTTTGAGGTGTTATATTCTTATGTATGGTACTGTGCCAATTAATAAAATATTCTCCGGAGGAAAGGGAAAAATTAATGTAAATAGTTGATTATTGTTAAAAATAAGAAAATACTTGAATTATTCTGTAACAATAATTTATTATTGGGATAAAACCATAGTATTGATTTTTTACTTTCACTTACCTATGGGTTATTCTGAAACTATGAGCAATTTAGGCTACCTAAATTTCTGAAAACTTTAAATCATCTAAATTTAAAAAAATAAATACCAGTACATTTAGGCATGATCTCTGGTAATAATATACTATATGATGCAACTCTGAATTGGTTTTAAAATTTATTATATTAAACATTATGTTAAATTTATAAAATTATATCACATTTATTATATTATTTATACTTATATTCAGGGGTGCCCATACCTCCCAAGATTGATGGCACAAGAACCTATAGCCCGCCTCCTCCTCCTCCCAAGATATTTTATTGCTGACCTTTTCTTAAAAACAGAGTAAGATAAGGTAGAATTAGAAAAATCGTAGATCATATGCAATTACACTTTCTGAGGTGTGTTCATGTTTTTCCCTTTGTCTCTTAGTCTGAAAATTCATAACCTCGTCAAAATATACCTCCCTCAAAAATTCAAAAACCCATCAAAATATGCCTCCCTCAAAAATTTGCAAGTTGCGCCATGAAACCCATATCTGATCACCCCTACTTATATTAATATACAGAGTGTCCCGTAAGTAGAGGGAAATATTTAAAGAGATAATAGTAGACCTCAAAAAGTTCGTATTAACATTGAACTGAATTTTTGTAGAAGATTAGTAAAGTTTTGTGTTTTTTGAAGTGTCCTGTTTTTTGTGGAATAGAAAGAGATAACTACAAAAATAATTACTTTAAGTAACTAACAATTACTTCATAGTAAACTAAACAAACTTTTGTTTAAATGAAAGTAGAATTTGTCATTGGCATAACCATTTAAACAGTACTCTTCATCGGCTAAACTATGCTAAGTTCTAGTTCTTAAAAAATCATAAATTATTCACAACTCTTTTTTATCACTCTCCAACTATACGACAGTTACCTGTAGAATTGGAAATCTTTTTTTTGTTAACCTTTTTTTTTATTAAGCCTTTTTGTTTTACTTTTAGGAAAACTTCCTTGTTTAATAATCTTTAAATCCACATTAATTTACCCGAGTATTTATTAGGAAATAAGTTGATATTCTTCTATATATATATTTTTATAAGTTATATAAAAAATGGTATGATTTCATATCCTGTCACCTAAAAGTGCCCGTGTTTTCAGCAAAAATGACAACTATAAATAATAGCAAAACCTTAATTCCATTTTTTCCCCATGACCTGGGATGTATTATAATAAACATAATTGTATAAATACACTTTTTAATTATAAAAAAAAATGATGTGTACTGATTTTTAAAATATTTATGATCTAAAGTAATTATGAAACTGTATGTTTTTTATCCAGATCTTTATTATAGGAATTTATCTTTTTTTATAAGTGACTAACTAAATCCTTAGAATCCTAATATTAACGTTTTTATGAGAATAATTACAGCAATTTGCAGGTATATTTCTTATTTTTTTACAATAATGAGTTAATACTTCAAATTGGTATTGATATTGTCTATCTATTGTAACACAAATTGTAATTCAATAAATAATATTGGCAGGGCTAAATATGGAATATTCACAACAAAAAAAATAATTATAATTAAAAAGTTATTGAATAACTCAATTGACATCAGACTCATTACTCTAACATTTCTTTAATTTGACAGACAAATCATGATATTTCATGTGTATGTGCTTGTGCATTTGTTTATGTGTACATATGAGTCTAAAATTGCATTGAAACTGCTTTTTATAGAGCTTTTTTAGAAAAAAACAATGGAGCATAAGATAATCATAGATTTTTCGATGTTATAATACTGCTGGCTGGATTAACACCCCATACAGCAACGTTTTCTAAAGTGCATTAGATTGTGTAACATGAGCTGTTTTGCATCCTGCATGAGTATACTATGTTACAAAAAAAATAAATACAGTAGACTCCTGTTAATATACGGCTCGTAATATATAATTATTTATTTAAAACTGATAGCCCTGGTTCCAATCTCTGATTGGTCTTATAATAAGATGATAATAGTATACATTTTTTGTTTCCCTACATTTTAAAACGACAAATAATTAAAGGAATTGAATACATTGGAAAAGTACCTGTAATTTAATTTTTATTTAATTTTTTTTTTTTTTTATAATCTTTATTTTTTTTCTTTTAGAGTGCTACCAATGGGTAGTTTCTCAACATGTGTTCCATGTCTTTATACCAATGTGCAAATTTACTAGATGTATTTTTTTTTTTTACAGTTGTAAATATCATTTAAAATAAATAAATTATTTTTTCTCGGTTTTTAGTCAAGTTCAAGATGCATTTTATATTTGATGATTTTTGTTTAGGAACTGTTATCTGCAAGAAAGATATATCCTAAATAGAATTTAAAGTTAAAATCTTATTTAAATTGTTTTTTATATCTTGGAAAAATAATTAGGTTACAGTAGTTAACAATGCCTTCTACCAAAGAACATAATTATGTGTTGTGAAGTACTTTTATCATTTTTCACTAATATACTACCACTACTGACCTGAAAATATTTTTTATAAAAAGACTAAGAAAAAACACATGTATATTAGTGAAAAATGAAAAAAGTAGTTCACAAAAAGTAATTATGTATCATGCCTTCAAAATTCCATTTTATGAGAATCTGAAATAAACAAAGCAGTAGTAAGTGTTTAAACTATTAAAATAGACTTAAACTTATTTTTTCTGAAATTTTCTAATTATATTACAGTTTGGATAACAGACAAATGAAAAACATTTGGGCTAATTTTTATTTGACATCCAGCATATGTTTGTAAAATATTTTAATATTTTCGATGGTTTGTAATCTGACCTTCCATTATTAATTTCTAATGATAATATTTTTTAAAACTTTTTACAATGTTCATATATTTATTTATTATTTATTTTTTTTAGTCTGGATTGATTTATGAATCACTTAACAGTTCCATCAGTGTTATGGAAGCTGAAGATAAACTGTTAAAATTTATTCAAAATAAAACTCCTCAAGGTGAGATTATTTATTTTTATACTGGATTATCATTTATATATATTCTGCATTATATTTGTCCAAAAATTTATTATCGATATACAGATTATTATTCATTTTGATCATCCTGCAATTCCATTGCATGAAAGCAACTATATTAATCTTAATTTTTTCAATTGTTTCCCCAAAAATTTAATATTTATCTCCTAATTTCATATACTAATGGTGGAAAGAAACTAGTTAATGTTGCTTCAGGAGTAGAGATTTTTAAAATATTTCTCAAATTGTTTAAAAAGTAACTAGTCTTTCAGATCTAACTAATGCATTACGGTTATTGGTACTTCCTTCAGAATGGTTCAAAACACCTTTGTGATGATATGCCATCCAAACAAGGATGAGATTTACATTTTTCATTTATCAAAAAAGACGTATGTTAGTATTTTTAATTTTAAGGTTTATCTATGTGCTATGTAAAAGAAGATAAATGGGATTTGATGTTATTAAAATTTATAACTATATAGGTCTTCAGTAATGCTGAAGGTATAAGTTATTAGTTCCTATCCTATTTTTAAGACTGCCAGTTTCTGTCTCAATTTTGATTTATAGAAACACCTCTGATGCTTTTGATTTCTCTATAGATTTCTGTAATGGAGGCAGTCCAATTTATAGGGTTAATTGAAGCCTTTCCATTATTTTATTTAATGTATTTTATAATCCACTATGGGACAGTTGTTTATTTAACATTTACTAACTGATTAATATCCTTTTAATTTTCTGAAATCTTTCTATAAATAAATCTTCACTAAATGTATCCTCCTTTACTTTTCCAAAATCCCAATGAGGAAAATTAGGAAATAGTTCCAACCAACCTCCAATGTGTACCATACATTATTTATATTCAAGTCATTAAAAGGAAACTTATTTACTTTTGAATAAAAATGAGTATTTTTTTCAGTTTTGAGGTATGTTGAAATCGATTTCATAATTTATTCTCATTATAGCAATATTATTATGATTTAAACCTATTGATTTAAACCAGTTGAAACTCTATGCATCGTTTATGAAGGTTTCTTGAAAATAAAATTCAATATACAGCAATATTGCAGCTTGTTATCATTGTCATGCTATAAAAAATTACAATTATTTTTTAGAGTTAAAGAACTACTCAAGAAAATTTTCTAGGCAATATTACATTTTTATGCAGCTTCATCTATTTTATCAAACATTAAGGATTTAAGTTTTTTTGATCTCCTCCAAAACATTTTATTAAATAAATCATGGTTTTGTAAACAGTGAATCCTGTTTTGTTTTTATTATTTAATTGTTATACATTCTTATGAATATAATCTTAGAACCCCTTTTTAATGACAATTCCATTTTATATTTTTCAAGTGTGAATTTGTTTTTGTTATATACAGACATTCTAATTGATTTATAGAATATATTTTTTAAAATAAAAATTCAATGTTTCTAAAATATTTCTATATGTAGAGGCAGTGTCGTAGAGTGGATTTTCGGTACCAGGGACGAGAATTTACCAGATTCCCCTTCCTCTCCCTTACTGCATCCCAAATGTATTAATAACCTATTTTGTATTCCCCTTGAACGCTCACCAGTTCGGCCCAGCTCACATTAATCTTTTAGGGGTTTGTAGATCGGTTAGCCTCAACTCTATTGTCTTAATTAAATTCATCGGGTACAAACCATCGAATTGGTGTTGTAAAGCGTTCTTAATTCTTCAGTTAGCTTGTCTTTATTCGGTCCAAATATTTTGCTGAATACTTTTCAAAAACTCTAAGGCATTGTCCATCCCTTAATGTTAATGGCCACATCTCGCTTTGTAAAGATCCCTAAAAAGTATAATAGTTAGTCAATTTTTAAATTTCGGGATAGAAGGTGCGAACTAAGTAATTTTGCAACTGAAAAATAACTATCATTTCCAGCGTAGCCTTAATTTCCTAATTATAGTTTTTTCTAGTTATTGTTGACCCTAATACCTAAAAATCACTAAAATCGCTTTCATTTCTGCTGCTAATCAAACATTTAGTTTTATCTGTAGTTTCCATGTCTCCTCTGAACAGTACCAAATTATTGGCATAACCGAGCACATAATTTTCTACCCATATTCAAAGATTTTTCAGTATGTATTATCTCTCTAATGGCAGTTCTAGTGCTAAATTATATAAGACAGGGAAAAAGGATTTAGCTATTTTTAAACCCAAATAAAAAAAATTAGCATAAAGGATGTTTCTGGTTTATCTCTTTTTATGACAGACAATTATTTTTTAAGAAATCTAACTTAATAAAATTTATATAGTATGTAGTAGTTATCTAGTATAATAAAGTCTGATATTATTTGCATATATTTATTCTAAATACGTCCTGACTAATTATAATTTTTAGTTACTTCTCATTTAAATCTGGTTCTTTGTTAATTGAGGGTTTAATTTTTATCCCCAATCGGTGGCACCACCCTAGCCGCTGCACCGATATTCAAAGCAAAGATTCAACTGTATGTCACAATTTAATATCAGTTTTTCAAATTTTGAACATTAAATCATTATAATACATTTCTAATATTGTTTTATTACATTTATAAATATTACACTTTTTTATTTTTATTTTTTTAGGTGAATGTCCTTTGGCTGGCAATTCAGTTTACATGGACAAGTTATTTTTAATAAAACATATGAATCGTGTTGCAAATCACTTACATTACAGGATAATAGATGTTTCTTCCATTTTTGAACTGGTGAGGTTTGTATATAGTTCCTTTATAAAAGTGGTTAGCTTCGGATTGTAAGTAAAGGATCCATAAGTATGCTAAGATCCAACTTTCCACACTAAGTCTTAGAAGCTGTAACAGAGGTCGTGTTATTTTTTACTTTTAAAATCTAAAATGAACATTCTGGTTTTGGTTTTCTCTTTTTTGTTTTTAAAATTTCTGCCCTTCTTCTAATTTCATCTGACTGTTGAGGTTGGTTAATAGAGATTTCAGAAGACCTTGATGAAATTTGTTCAAAGAGGAAAGAAGATTCAATGTATGAGGATAAGGCTAAGAGAGGAAAATTTCAAGTGTGGAGAGGATGAGCACCCAAATCACTCTCAGTCGGCGAGCTATGGGATGACCCTTAAGATCTCACAGGACAGTAGCCATTAATGGGAGGTCGTGGTGGCCGAGTGTGTTGGAGCGTTGCCCAGTCTAGCATCCTCATGCCTAGCGACGCCGGTTCGAATCCGGCCTGGGAGTGGTTGACTTTAATTTTGTGGCAGCCTCACGGAATGAAATTCGACCCTCCCACTGTGGTTAGAATACGTTTGGTTGTACCTCTAGAACAACCCCTCGTATGCCAGAAATGGTGGGTAGGGGGTTATCTAATAAAAAAAAAAAAAGTAGCCATTAATGGAGAGATGAGATTTCAGACTTTGTGGGGTGAAGAAATACTGAGGGATGAGCACCCAGACCTTGTATGGTATGAGAGTAGGAGAAATGGTTATAAGTTCATAGGATAAATGAAAAGTCAGATTGAACAAGAAACAAAAACATCTATAAAATATATTGATCAGTCTGACTGATGGAGACCTATTCTCTTGTATTCCCAAAGTAAGGAGAGTAAGATCTTGAAACTCTTACAATGCTACTTGAAATTACTAGTAATAAATCCGCAATGATAAAAATGGCTAGCAAGAGTCATTTCAGCTACTGTTAATTTTAAGCTTGGATATACCTTAATACTATAAAATTTTATTATTATAAATTACTCTCAATGTATTTATATATTTAAAAGTTTCGACTCCAGTTTTTACATTAAAATAATATGAAATAAAAATAGCACTTGTAGGTAAAATGCATGAGCGTGCGCATGTAGCTGAGCTAAGTAGCAGGCGTGTAAACTACACAGTGATCTGCAGTAGCAGGCGTGTGAACTACGACTGCTACAAGACGAAGGAGGGATTCTTTCTAAATCTATTAGAACCTTTGGATAAAACATGCTACTGCATTCATACCATGAAACAACATTTTTAGATACTTTAAAGATAATCTAGCTTAAGTTATACAGAATTTCTCACTTAAGGGTCAGTGGGTCCTCCCATCAGGACAATGCCCTAACATTCACTTCAGTATTCATGTTTATTGTGAGTTTTTGGCCTCATATTCTGTTACCATGACAGACTACTCCCTTTATTCATCTGATTTAGTAATACCTGACTGTTCCTTTTTCCAAATGCAATGGTGCTTGGGAGAGAGGGGAATAGTATTTTGGTGATGTGGAGACAGCTGAAGAACCTCAAATCAGTTCAAAGAAGCCTTCTAGCAATCAAAACAGATGTTCCAAGTTTATTGTATCATGAGGAGAGTATATTGAAGGAAATAATATCAAAGGACCTGATAAAATATAATTATTTTTTTCACTTTTATATGAACTTACTGGAAATACTTACAACCCATGCATAATATTTCCATATTCTATATAATAAGAAAAGATTAAGTCCAAATATTGATTATAAAATAAAACCCTCTGTAAGCACTTTATGTAACTTTTAAGATTCGTAAGTTAGCTTCTCATATCACTCAATAAAATTGCAAATCAACAACAATTAGTAAATAATTTAATAAAGATTTATATCTTTTAAATTTTTTAGAAGTCTTTTTATATCTATTAGATTGAATTTTGGCAACTAGACTTCTTTAAAACCTCACTTTATTAATCAAAAGTAATTATCATCATTTAGTTAACATTTCAGGGAACTTTTCCTAACATCAAAATCTATAAAATTTATTTAATATTATATCCATTCCTAAATTGCATTGATTTTTTATTTTTACAGCTACAATTTTCTATTATAATTTTCTTTTATTTATTGAGTAACGAGATGGTCCGGGGTGGTGGTCATAAAAAGACTAAAATAGTAAAAAAAACTATTTCATTTCAAGCTAACGTTTCGACCCGACTTTGCAGGTCTTCTTCACGGCTAGAACAAACAAGATATAAAAGTATATACAAAAATGCTGAAGTTATATAACATTCAGATAAAAATTATAAACAATGATAATAAACTTATTAAAATTATAAACAGTGTGAATAGAAAGTACACAGAAATATTATAAACAAGAAACTATATAAACAGAGTAAACAAATTATAACTAAGTAACAAGACCCTAAACTGAAGTAAATAAATGGTAACAATTATTAATGGTATAGAGGTAACAATTATTGTGTATTATGTAGATAGACCATAGGAAGAAAGACTGTACATAGAAGTAAAATGTAAATATCAAAATAAAAATGAGAGATCACACACTGCAGAACTAATTTAAAAGTATAAAAAAGAAACTAATATAAATAGCTAGAATTAGAATTAGTTTTTAATTAGAATTAGAATTATATATTGTAAGAAAATTACATTTAAATAAAAGATAAAATAGACAAATTATAGATAAAGGTACAATAAATACAAAATGTACTGTTTTTGGTTGTATAGATGTTTAACAGTTCAAGTATAGTATTGAGAGGGAAATTATTGGAAAGAGATATATTTTTGACTTATAGTATGTTGGATTGGTGGGATTGTTGATTAGATAATGAGAGAGATCGGTGAATTAGCTTTTTGGCGGTATCGATTTTTTGGTGTTATGGTTGTTGAGAGTAAAAGTTAAGTAGTTTGCCTGAGTACATGGGTTTAGTATACCAGTCAGTAGAAATAGAGCCATCAGTGTTTCTAATTATTAGGATATCTAAAAAGGTAAGTAAATTGTAAACTTCTTTCTCTCAATAGTGAACGAAAACAGGGGTGGTAAGAGTTAAATGAGGAAAGGATTGGAGGGATGCTGTCAGGGTTAAGAACAAAGATGAGGTCATCGACATATTTTTTAATGAAAATGATATCTTGACGAAAAGAAGGGATAACGGAATCTAGGTCATTTTCACAAGTCAATTCACTCCCATTTTTAGACCTCCTAATAATCAGAAACACTGATGGCTCTATTTATACTGACTACACCTACCACCCCTTTCATATACAAATCAATCTCCTACATTCCTATTCTATCAGATAATATTAAAAAATATTTAAAATCAACTATTACCAACTAACGTCTTGCCCTTAAGGCCCATTACAAACTCTCTTTCCTTTTCCCAAACTTGAAGGATCCTATACTTTTACAACATAGATCTAATGTAGTTTACTGGATACCTTGCTCTACTCCTAATTGCAATAGTTCCTATACTGGCGAAACTAAAAACCACCTCAAAACCCGTATTTCCCAACATAAAACATCCATAACTTCCCTGAACCATTCCAACTCCAAACTATCAGAACATTCCTCAACCCTCAACCATTCATTTGATTTTGAAAAAATCTCCATTCTTGCCACGATTCCTATTCATGGAAAAAGACTCAATTCCAAATCCATCCACATCCACATGGAACAGAATCCGGTTAATCATAAAGTGGATAAAAACTGTATTTCTTTAACATACAGACACATTTTAAATCTAATAAGTCAAAAATAGCTTCTATTATTTTTTTTATTTATTTTTTATCTATTTTCAGTTTTTTATTGGTTAATTTAATTTAATCGTTCTTTAATTTTTTTATTATTTCCGTATTGTATTATCTCTCATTTTATTTTTATATGAACATTCTACATTTATGTACCATCATCTGTTTTTTATTTTGTATTTATTTTATCCTTTTCTATATTTTTTCTATTTTATCTTGGATTTAAATGTAATTTTCTTACAATATATACAACTAATTCTAATTCTAACTATTTATATTAGTTTTTTTTTTATACTTTTAAATTAGTTCTGCAGTGTATGATCTGTCATTTTAATTTTGATATCTATATTTTACTTCTATGTAGTACGGTCTTTCAGTTTTTTTTTGTTTTGTTTTTTGTATTCACATTGTACTGTTATTTAAAATTTCTTAATTCTATCTTGCATGTATGTGTATATATTTATAACTAATTAGTTCATGGATATTATATTTTTTCTTGTATCCATCAATATCTTCAAATTTTTGATATTATAATATTCTCGGTTTTTACTTTATTTTACTACTTATCCGTGCTACATACTTCCGTAAGGCTCTATTTTTTATTTTATTTTTTCATTTTCTTCACCCTTCCTTCATGTCCATTACATCTTATTTTTTTAAATATTATTTTACCTTTATCTTTCAATCTTTCCTTGTGATCTGCAGGATTATATTCATTATTAAGTTTATTATCCATTCTCCTTATTACATTCAATTTTTCCCTATCTAAATAATACACAATAACTGTTATCTCTTCACCATTAATAATTGTTACCATTTATTTACTTCAGTTTAGTGTGTTGTTACTTAGTTATACTTTGTTTACTCTGTTTATATTGTTCCTTGTTCTTAATATTTCTATGTACTTTCTATTCACTGTGTTTATAATTATAATAAGTTTATTATCATTGTTTATAATTTTTATCTGAATATTATATAACTTCCACATATCCTTTTGAATCTTATTTGTTCTAGCCATGAATAAGATCTGCAAAGTTGGGGTCAAATCATTGGTTTCAAATATAATAGTTTTTTGCTATTTTAGTCTTTTTATGACCACTACCCTGGACCATCTCCTTACTCAATAATATGCCACGGTCAACCATCAAGTATTCAATTTAATTCGTTTATTAACAATTTCCAGTAACAGATTCCTTTTCTCAAAATTACCAATTCTCCCTTTAATCATATTATTAATACATAAAGGATTTAAGGAGTTTTTGTTTTTATTGCTGCAGGTTTGTTACAACTGGTACTCTATCTGGACTATGTCTCTGTGATTATTCTACTTTTTTATGTTCTTATATTTTGTTAATCACCACAATATTCTGTTATTTATGATTCAAAGAAATATGTTTAGTTTGTTTTGTTATTTGCAACATGTTTCAATTTTAGTTTCTTTTGAATCTATTAATATTATATGCATAATTGTTGGTTCTGTCTTTTTTGTCAGTATCGTGGTTAATTGTTTTATTGATATAGTTTGTTAGATATATAGTTTGCAGTATTTTTCTATTTTTTGTTATTTTGATTCTATCAAGTATTTTAGGATTCTCTGAATTAAATTTGTGTTGCTTCATGATATTATGATGAACTAATAAATTTGGTGATAAAAAAAAAAAATAATATAATGTAAATAAGTATGATCATAGAGACATGGTCTAGTCAGTTTTAGGTGTGAGGGACCTGCAACAATAGAAACAGAAACTCCTAAAATTGTTTAGGCATTAACAACATTACTAAAGATGGAAATTGTAAATAAATTAAATTATAATATAAAATTTTAAATCTGGTGTGGCATGCATCACTCACTTTTCACTTCAATTTTTTAGAGTTTATTTCAAAGGAATTAATCCATTGTGAGTATAAACAATCAAAAGGTGTCAAATTTGAAAAATATTGATTCCTCACTATTTTATGAACAGTTAATGCAATGATTCACTTCATTTGCAAATGAGTATATTTTTGGTTTTTTTAATCTAAAAAATATTTGTAAAAGTTTCAATTTATTTTCCATGGAAACATTTAGTTTTCATTAATTAATATTAGTTTTCAGAAATTATTGGGAGTGGGGTAGCTCAGCGGCAGGGTGCTGAGCTTCCAATGCTAAAGGTCCCAGGTTCGAATCCCGGCTCATGGCAGAAAAATTATTTATTCTGTTTCATTGGCCGTGGGGCGACCCTGGGTAGGTAAACCCTCCTGCGACACACCCAGCTTCTATAAAGTGGGTACCCTTAATTAAAATAATTAATTAAGGGGAAAAACCTGGCGGTTGAGGTTGATCAAATCACCTCCTTGCACAACCGTAGACCAAGAAACAGTGCTTTACTTAAATAGTACTCAACCCAAAACGTACAGGTTTGTAGTCATACAGGTCTTTTTCAGAAATTATTAATCATAATTATTTCATCACTCTCCATTATCTTCTATGACTTATATTAGATTTATATTTTCTATAAAATCTTTAGCCTTCAAACAATATATTGTACATATCTATTTATACTATTAGCTTTTAACTCAGAAAAAATTCAGTTTTTAACCCTTATCAGGTTATTTCAATAATGATAAACACTACCTGATGTTAAAAAACAGTTAATTGTATGTTTGTATAACAAGTTTAATTGAAATCATTGGAGCTGCTTTAAAAAAAAAATTAAATGTTTCTAAAATCGATGATATGAGGTGCTAATTTTGATTTGCTGATTTTTATAAAAAAAGTTGTAACATCTCTGGTATAGGTATATACATAATTTTAGTTTCATACAACTTTCTTTTGGCATTTCACATACGAACACACACACATACACACACACACACAGATCATTTTGCTAGATTTGACAGATTAGACTCAGGGAACCTTAAAACATGTATTTCCATTGAAAACTTGGATTCAAAACTTTTCACGATTGCAACACTTTCTCTCTTACTATATATTTCATTCATATGTAGGAAAATTAAAATAATTTTAATTTTAATGCAAGATTTGCTGGTTTTGTAATTTTGACTAAAGAAATCTGTTACTGGAAATTGTCAACAAGATAAATAAAATAAAATTATAATATAAACTTTTAGATTTAAAAAATTAAATTATATTATTGCAGGTTTGGGCATAATATAAAATAATAAATAATTTTACACAGATTCTGAAGATGGAGAAAAATCCCTGAAACTTTAACAAAATCATGATAATTACTTTTTAATAATAAGATGAAGTTTTAAGGAAGTCTAATTGCCAAAATGTAATAAAATTAATTAAGATTAGTTACTAAATACCTTTTTCTTATAAAATTTATGTTAAGTTAGATGTACATCAATATTTTCTTCTTTGTAGGAGATGGTATCCTCGTTTGAAATTGTTTAAAAAGAGTTGTCTTCATCGTGCCCTTCCAGATATTAAAGAAAGTATCTTGCAATTAAAGTTTTACAGAGAAAAGGTTTTAAAGCCAGTCAATGAAGTACGGAGTTCTAGATGAACTCACATTTATGAAGGTACAATCATGCATTTATATATTTTGTAAAATTATATTATATTAATACTAATAATAGTAAAGGCATTTTTTTTTAACAACTCACTAATGAATATTAAAATTCAAATTAAACATTATTTAAATAATGTTATAATTTCTCAAATAGCAATAAACAAATAAGAACTGTATTTAAACATTAAGAAATCAAACAATAGTTTCTGCTCTCAAATAAGTTCTTTATCATAATCTCTCATAATGAATCTATAATTCATAAACACGCTAAATAATATTAGTATTTAGAAAAAAAACATTTAAAGGATCACATTAAAGCTCAGTAGGAAATATTTACCAGGTTTGTAAATAAGAAATCAGGATTTGTGCATAGGTGGCTCTAGTTGTTAGTGTAGTTATAATTTAACTGCATTATTGTTGCCATTTTATTTCTTTGACAGCTGGTAAAGATTTTCAACTTACAATACAAGTTCCATATAGCAGCATATTTTTAATAGAGTAGAACTTGTCAAGATTTGTGCCTATCAACTACAATCTGCGGGAATAATTAGTTTTCTGTTACCATTTAAAGAAAACTGGAGTAGAATCCCATTAAATGCTTGTCAAAGCTTACGGTGAGCACACTCTTGGTAAATTACAGTGCTTTCAATGATTTAAAAAATTCAAAAGTGAAATGATATGAAATAAAAAAGTATTTTATTATTATGGGACTATAATTATAAGTATTATATTAGAACAAAAGAAGATGGCTGAAAAAGTTTGAATGCTCAAACCCATCAACAACTCGCAGATCAATTTAATATAGCATGTGAAGCTAACTCCATATGTTTGTAAGCCATAATAAAGATCCAGAAGATGGAAAAGTGGGTTCCACCTGAACTGAATGTAAGTTGGTAAGAGAAGGGAAAAACTGCCTCCGAAATGTTGCTTGTCAGGTACAAAAGAAAGTCAAAGACCTGTAGTGAAAAGTGGATAATGATTGAGGCGTTCAGTTGAGAAATATTAGCACATGTGGCTAACTCACTCATTTTCTCTGCCATGTTATAAGGGTGGGAGGAAAAAGAAATGGAATGAGTAGCAACATTCCAAGTAAAAGATGGAATGGAAATGGGACGAAACGAGTGATGTCGTTCCAAGTTTTTGAATGAGAATGGAACGGAACAGTCTTGAATTGGTTTCAAGAAACAATTCCACTTTTGGAATGGAACGAAAGGAAGGAGCTGTTTGGTTTAAAAGAAACAATTTCACCTTTTTCTTTATTAAAGTCTCTATGTATGTTTTTAATTTTATGTTAAGTTTGTAAGCTTTAGATTAAATAAATTGTATGTATACGAACTAAGTAAAATAGCAAAGAGAAATAGATTTTATTTTGTATATTTTCTTTTTAACTGTGGGGCAAGGGAATATTTAAGGAAAATTCTTCTTCTATTGGCACAATAGACGCATATAGCTGTCATTAGGTTTCTCAACAAGCCTTTTCCACTGCACTTATATGCAATGGTGAGTAATGGGATCTCCTTGTGGTTCTTACATTGCATGATCTCCCCTTTTCTTTCGTATATTGACATTATTTGGCCATTTGACCAACTACTATGGATTACTTCTTCTTCCCAAATTCTTTCCCTCAATTCATGGAGTACCGCAGCAATCTCCCAGTTTGCTCGTTTGAAAAGTTCCAATGGAAGACCATATATTCTTTTTTAAGACCATTATGGTTTTTTATTATCTCTATAATATCCACTTTATCAGGCATTGCATCTTCGTCACTTTCATTGTTCTTCATTATTGCACTAACCTATTCTACCTCCTTACCTATTCACTATGTGGGTAGTAATATGTTTGATTTTGAAGAATTTATATTAATCTTAAACTATTATCCAGATAATAAGGTTCCTGGTCAAGTCTGAATACCTTACAATGACCTGAAATCAAAAATATTAAAACTAATAGGTTGGAAAATCGAGAACCCTTAGATGGCACTCTTCAATTATTCTTTACACCTCACCTTGAGTAAGAAATTGTAAAGGCAAGGTAAAGAAAAATTATAAATACAACTGTTTGAGTTATGTAGACTAGATGGTACCAAACCCCATCCAGATTATCCAAAGTCTGTATTAAATGACATTTGCTGTATAATAGATATGATAAAATATTTTTCTCATAATTATACAATTTCTAATACCTTAATTTTATTTTTAATACTACATTATTTATTAGAACCAAGATTTCAACCTTCAAACTGAAACAGAGTTAATAAAACATCATCTTCATGGTTAAAGCTCAAAATTATTTGGTTTACAGTACCAAATAACAGATGGGGGTGCATTAATGTTTCAATTTTAAAATTAAGAATTCAAAAGCAAAACAAACATTTCAGCAAATACATTAATATATAAATTGGTTGTTTGCAGGGTTGGTAGATTTTCCAACAAACTGAATGTTTACATAACATAGATGAAATAGTTTCATGAAATTATTTTTGTATTTACTGCTCACAAAATGAAATTTTTCGTTTATTAAATTTTAATTGCATTTTAAAAATCTCCATCCAGATCTCCAACAATGGGACTGATAATTTGAATAATTCTGCTGCAAGACTAGATTATTTTCAAGCAATAATATTTTGATTAGTTGAGTAACATTTTCCATACACACTAAAATTTGTAATAAAATCAAATTTTAGAGTTAAAAATATAGGTTTATGGTCTTCTTATTGGCAAGGATAGTAAGGTTGCATTCTAATATATTTGACCACAGATCTTTATATGTTCTGAATTAATAAATTATAAGAGATTAACACTATGTTATAGCATCTATTTATGAGTGAAATAATTGTCTAATTATGTGTGACTTGTTTATGAAGTTTAGTTAAATTTTATCAATTAAAGCCTTTCCATATGAGATATTTCTTTTATTTCAATTATTCTTTCACCATTTAATTGATCTTCCCATATGTGTTATATAAAAATACTGTTATTTCTGTATGATACTCACATATTGATTGTGAGGTATAATTTTTCATTTGTTAAAAATACAATGATTAAAACAATTTTAGAATACCAAACTTAAACAATATTTATTTATTCAATAATATATTGTTTCCTGTTTTGATTTATTGGTCATTTTAAGAACTTTACATGTTGATTGCTGACTGCAAAATAACTCGCAGTTAGTGTTCTTGCTCCAGACACCAAATGTGAGTTTCTTCGTATGTTTATTTACTATACAAATTTATGTTTGTGCAACTAATATGAAATTTATAGTATACCTGTATACCCTAGCAAAAACTTTCACTTTAGATAGCTATCCTTCTCCCTAATGCATTCAACGTATAAGTGACATTGGTGAAACATGTTTATTCAAGTATACAATATAATATTATTTAGATATTCTATTCAAACAATTAGTGAAGCTTCATACTTTACCAAGACTGTTGAATTAACAATGTATTTATTGTATGTGATTAGCTTATCCCGCTGAAAAACATCCCTTCAGTTTAATAGTTTCACAATAAGCTATATCTGAACTTATACTAATCCATTATTTTACTCACTTGAGACCTATTTGTTTGGTGAAGAACATCCTTGGTTTGTGGTTATTCCACTTACTAATAATATAGAAGGCATACCCGGATATTTATTTATTTTTTAATAAAAATATGAAAAATTTTCTTTCTATATTCTCAAACCTATTCTAAGGATATCAGAACCACTCTCCATCTACCTTTTCAATAAATTTTTAGTTTGTCAAAGACTTTCATTAGTAGCAATGTTTTAATTTTTAAAAACTAAACATGTTATAAGTACCGCATGGCAACCTCCACCAAAAAGGTTTTCAACAAGAATTACGGTTTATCTTAAGAACAGTACATTTTAGCTCGTTAAACCAAAGGGCCTAGTATATCCCCCAAAGGAGATGTACTGGATCTTGATGCCCTCATCAATATCTTTAAAATGCAATTTATCTTGTCACGATCTTTTGAGTGGAAAATTTCCAATTTTTTCAATGACTTTTATAAAAATTGTAGGCATTTAAGAATTGTAATTAGTATTTATCGCTTCTTCATGAAATTCATTTTCATTTGATACCTTATTTATGAAAATCCATTGCTCCTAAGAGCAATTAAGCTGGAGGTTCTAAAATTAGATTTGTTAGCAATATATGTTTAAGTTGAATTAGCTTTTCTGACCAGAATCCTGAAAAGTACCATGGCAGTCAAGGTGTTAAAGAATCCTTACTTTAAGAAAAATGTATATTTTTCAATTATCAAATTCCAAAATATGATCAAGTGGTCAAAAATATTTAATACATTCATTGTCAACATATTTCAATTACTAATAATTATTAATCTTAAATTTTTAGTTAGATTTTTCCATATTCATTTTTTTTTTTATGAAATGAGTTAAAACAAGTATTTTCTTAATAATTAAATTAATATAATCATTGTTTATTATTTCTTCAACATACCAGTAGTATGTTCAACATTTTTTTTAAATGATTAGAAATATATTATTCCTAAAGTTAATTGATTCATCATTATTTTATTGTTTGTTTCAGAAATGAAGAATCTGTTAAGTTTAAAAAGATGTAAATAGCAAATATCACATTGGAACTTCCTCATTAACTTTCCTGAACGAGACTTAGCTAGGCCTAGCTATTCCATTTTCCTATGATTAATTAAATTCAAATGAGTTATAGTTAATAAATTATGCAGTTCAGATCTAAAAAAAAAAAATGTGTGTGTGTGTATATATATTTATAATAATAATGATAACTAATTTTTTCTCACTTGTTGCCCATAGGTCTAGTTTAACAAAATAAAAACTGTATTTTATTTATTTGTATGTTTGAGGATACTTTGTCCCCCTCTTCAGCATCTAGAATTACATAAACAGCACATTGTAGGTTCTATATTCAACTAGTAAGTTATATTTCTTTAAAATTTAAAATAAAAAATAATTTGCCCTAGTATTGGATTAGTGAGTCCTTTTTATTGTATTTTTTTTCTGCCCAATATTTTAATATTGTCAAACCTGATAACATGGGTTTGTATTTTATCTATTTTATGGTTTCTTAGAGCTGTGTGATATCGGTTGTGTACTATTGATTTCTTGTGTTGTTTTATTCTTTTTCTAAGATTTTGGAGTTATTCTCCTATGTATATTGTTTTGCAGGGACGTTATAATTGATATATATTGTTATTGTTAAACATTTTTTAAAGCATTACAATGTACCAGAAAAAATATATACGTGGGAGAATCACTCAAAAATCTTAGAAAAAGAATAAAATAACACAAAAGCTCATCAGTATATAACAGAAATCGCACAGCTCTAAATAACCATATAATAGAAAATAAACAAACCCATGAAATCGGGTTTAATAATGTTAAAATATTGGAAAAGTAAAAAAATACTTTAAAAATGAAAGAGAGCTTCCTTATAAAATATATCTAAAACTAACATGAAACATAACGGAAGAATTAAAGTTTATTCTGAATACATGGAATCAAATTATAGAAAAACAAATTTAGTGCTTATCCTCCAACCCTAAATGTACTTCAGTCTTTTTAGTTTAAAAAATATTTGATCACTGACTAGAAATTTTAAAGGAATCAGCCAATAATAGGGCAAATTATCTAAGCACATTTTATCATTGTATTGAAAAAAATGGATTTAAATAGGAAGTTATTTAAATTAAATAAAAAAACATTATTAATTTTTTAAAAATTAATTTTAAAGGAATGTAAGTTAGAGGTTCAATAAATAACTCATTAGCTACTGTTTATGTAATTCTAGATGCTGAAGAGGGGAATAGAGTATCCCGAAAACACTATAAATCAATAGTGTTTATTTTATTCAAGGCTTGGAACGGAAAAACAACTTTTATTTTCAAAAAGTTTTGGTATCATGGAATTTTTATTGTTGATAGTTATTAAGTTCTTTTGGAACTAGGACTTTTCCGTAGCAATTACAAGTAAAGGTTTTACAGAACTAGGATTTTTAAAAAAACTTTTATTTAAAATTATTCGATATTTAATATTTACTAAATATTCGATTTCGCTAAAAAGTCTATCAGAAAAATGACTTTTATCAATAGTTCAACTGTTAAAATGGAAATTTTTAACCCCTTAAGTTTAAAAACTGTTTTAAAACCTTAAGTTTAACTTGAAACTTTAAGTTTCAACCCCTGATTTTATTTAACTAGATCAATGGGCAACAAGTGAGAAAAAATTATTAAGGAAAAAAGGTATAAACTACTAAATAATGATAACATTCATTAAACTTTTTTATCCCCTTTTTTCTTAAGTCTTTTTTTTTTTTTTTTTTTTTACATTTTTGTACATTATTCGTTTTCTGTTATGCTATTGAAGAATTTTCAGAGTTAGTTTGTGCAAATAAATTTCTTTTTATACATATCAACTTTATTTAAAACAATTATACTACTTTGAACTTGCCATATATGATATGATGTGAGTATTGTATCATTGGCCCTTCACTTTCTGATGTTTTAACTTTGTACAACTATACGTACTAGAGGAATACACAATATAAAATTAGACAAACTTTTATTCTGGGACATATCTTATAGGAATATAGAGAGCAAATCAAGAATACGGAGGGTATTTTGGTTCCAAAGGATTGAAAGAGAAATACACCTAGTAGGTTTATACACCAGGAAACATGGTGAACCTACAATAAATTTTCATAGCAATTGGAGAAATGAGAATGCCTGGTAACAACATTAATGTCCTTGTCCGCCATTGCAGAAGGTGATAAGGCATGAAAATAAGAATGGACTAGGGGCACCCATCCCCCCCCCAAGGTAGATGGTGCAAGAACCTATTCCCCTCACTCTTAGATATTTTATTGGTCACCTTTTCTTAAAAACAGAGCAAGTGAAGGTATAATTAAAAAAAACCGCAGATCATATACAATTGCAGTTGTTGCGGTCTGTTCTATGCTTTCCCCTTCGTATGGAACTTTTCATTCTGAAAATTCATAACCCCACAGAAATGTGTCCCCTCAAAGGCCCGCTAAAATAGGCCCCCCCATCAAAAATTTTGATTTTGTGACTTCTGGGCATCCCTGGAATGGACTAAATTTCCATGTGTTTAAGCATGGAAATTTAGGAACTGTTTAAAGAAACCTGAACATAAATTTTTAGGGGACTTGAAAACAATGGGGGAAATATATATTTATATACTTTTGTACTAAGAAGACGTGTTGATCAAAAATGACTAAAAGACTATTAACAGAAATGTGAAAATGTACCTGAAAAATTCAAGGAATTTTCATGAAAAAAAATATTGAAAGTATGGTTCTTTTATAAGCTGGAATTAGCTATTATAATTCAGAATCATTATTGGTCAAAATGAGTGCATGTAATCAGAACAGAGCTAGCCTCAGACACTTGTCCTTAAAAAATGGAAATATAATTAGGACAAAATGAGATACATGTGAAGAAAATAGATAACAATATGTTGATTTTATTTTTCAGAATGTCATTCTTATTAAGTTGTTTTATAGGCCAGTATCCTTGAACATCATAAGTTGCATTGAATGGGGGTAGAAGGTTTCTTTTTATTATCTTGTATAGGATGTAATTCAGATGCAAATCCAAGTTGTTCACCTATGTCACTGAGATTCAACAGTTGTCTTAATTTCGTCATAATGGGTCTTTTATTAAAGCTGAATAGTTTGGGGATAATAAAACGTCAACAAATTTAAAAAAATAATTGGCCTTGGCAATAAAAAATACCAGTAAAGTCAATTATTTCAAGTCATTCAAATTAAACTTGAAAATCAAGCATCATTTGTAATTAAAAGGGCAACAATAACGAAAAACGCCTTGAAATAAAACATATAGAGAATATATTAATCGTTCTAAATCACTGATTAATTTTTAAAATATTTGAAACGGTTCTTTTGAAAATGCACTTGATCAGCGGCAATGGAGTAGGCGGCTACAGTCTTGCCATCTCATTCGGTTCTCATAAATGTCATAGTTATAGTGCTACTCTCTTCATCTATCTATTACATACTTCTTCCACCAAATAATGTTTCGATCAGCTCCTTGTTATATTTGCTTTATATTTCTTTGTTATGTATGCGTTATATTTCCTTGTTATGTTATAATGATTTTGAATCTTCTCAACAGTGATGGAAGAATTTATTTTTCTAGCGGTTTTTTCTTCTTGGCTTTTTTATATATTTATATCTTTTGCTATGATTTGATCCATATCTAACACTGCTCTCTGAAATTAAATTTCTGAGTCGAGGAGAGTTTTGAAATATGCAGTAAGCCCTTTTTTGTTGCTGCCCGCTGGTTTACTAGGAAGAAGATCGAACGCAATACATGTCATTCTAGCTCCCTTAATTTATTAATTAACTTATAATATTAGATTCACATATATCAACATAGGGTTTCTATCTCTTATTATTTATAGCCATTGCTGTATCCGTGTATCCTACTTCTTCTAAATAATAAATAAAATAAATGTTTACTTCACTAACTCTTGTAAGGCAGGTTATTGAAGAGATAAACATAAAAATTAGCTTAAAATTTTCAAGTTACGAAAATTTAATTCACTTTATTTACAATTTTTGTAGGAACATAATGTAAATATTTGTTAAATAATTGTTTTTATTTTAATTGCAGTCTTCTGGTTGTGAAAAGTAATCTCCCCCTCTCTTACCTAACCTCCTTCCCTTCCTTAAAAATGTCCAAATTAATAAAAACTTGCTTCAGTGAATCATATAAGACAGATAATAGGAGATATAAAGACAATTGCATATGATCAAATAAGAAAAATCGGAGGGGGACGCCGATGTGAAAAAATTGGATTTTACATCTCAGTCACATCCCATACAAGAAAAAAGAAACCTTCTGCCCCCATTCCATGGAACTTAGACTCCCTTTTTCATCATGACAAGGTTACTGAACTATTATTGAAAAGCTGTCTAATTTTTGACAATCCTCAACATAAACTTAGAGATCCCAGGCTGTGCATATAAGAAATGAATGTAGGCAGATGACAGAGTCAAGGTTTCAAAACTTTATAAAAGATGAAATTATGACTTACCAGGAGAGGTCATTGATTTTAACTAATTATTTTTGGTTATACTACATCGAAAAATACTAGACATATGTCACTTTGTTCCAATGGGCTTCAGGAGCCCAGAAAGAATTATTTTGTATATTTTTCTCCCCTTTATTTCTTGGTATTTATATATCAATAAGTTTCTTTTTTGTACAGAATAAGTTACTGGGGGAGGGGGGCATGGCCTGAGTTCACTATAGCGTGACGTTCATGACTGCATAACGTGATGATATCAAATTATAACACAGCTCTGCTTTATAAATATCCATTTATAAAAAATAACAAAATACATACTAGTTGTTGACGTAGGCCGTGGTAAGGAATCGTTCATCGCCCAGCAACTCATAGTAAGCTAATATCCATAGCAGAGAGCCCTGCGGGCATCCTCTTTCTGTGCTTTTTGACTTTATACAAGTTACCTAGGATCCTTACTCTTTTGTCCTCCAGGTAACTTTTCATTAAGGCATACAAACTGCTGGAGGCACAATCAACCACCACAAGCTATCGAAGGCGGAGGTAACATCAAACAAAAGTAACAAAATACCTTTATATATATATTCTCCGCCTTATCATCGTTGTGGTGCACTTGCATCAAAGCATCAGCAGTCCCTTAACTCTTAAGTTTTCATATTGTCGTGGATGGCTAGCTCTATCTAGTGCTGATTGAAGACTCGTTAGTATGAGTTACTCAAGGACCT